GCTGGCCTAGCATGTGAGGTGCTGGGTTCAATCCCCAGCACCACATAATTAATAAATTAATAAGTTACTTAATTAAATTAAGTGTCCATCTACAGCTAAAAATATTTTTTTAAAAAGTGAATATAATGGGGGGCTGGGGATGTGGCTCAAGTGGTAGCGCGCTCGCCTGGCATGCATGCGGCCCGGGTTCGATCCTCAGCACCACATACAAACAAAGATGTTGTGTCCGCTGATAACTAAAAGAAATAAATATTAAAATTCTCCCTCTCTCTTTAAAAAAAAAAGTGAATATAATGGAAATCATGGTCCATTGTTTAATCTAGCCTGATGTTGTTGCCTAAAAAGCTCAAAAGAGCTGCTTCTTTGTTAAAAAGGAAAAAGAGTAAGAAAAGGAATCATGCTATTAAAGACACACCAATCCTTCCTAACACTATTTCCTGGGCATTTTCATAGGTAAAAAAGCACCTCTCTGGGTGAATCTCAACCAGGCATCTATCCTCTGGCCACAGGAACTATCTGAGTATCACTCCTTCAAGCTATACAGAATCAATCATATACCTTTAGACATTCTCATGGAAGGGGGACCCAGAGATCTCATCCCATAGCTCTGATCCCATTGTGATCAGGAAAGAGAGCTTCTGCTGACCCAGCAAGGGAGCAACATTTAACCTCTTATTTGTCAACCCCATTTGGCAGACCGTGGGACAAGAACTGCCAATGAATCTCTGCTCCTAACAACAACAAAAAAAAAGGTAGGACTGACATTTCTGAGACAGGCAAAAGATTAAAATCTCAGCTCCAAATAACGATTTTGCAAGTCCTATTTTATTGTTTATTTTAGATCATCAGTCTGTAGTCCAGGGATCTGATTCCTTCAAGTACRTTGTGAGTTTTGTTGGTGTGGTGGTGCATACCTGTAATCCCAGCTAACTGGGGGCTGAGGCAGAGGGATCACAAATTCTAGGCGGGCCTGGTGATTTAGYAAGACACTGCCTCAGAATAAAAAATAAGAAGGGCTGGAATGTAGCTCAGTGGTAGAGTATCAGGGGGGGAAAAATCATATCTCACCTCCTAAGATGTGCTTGTTGACTAAAGGAGCATTGGCTTCTCTGGGGACAGCCTGATGTACTCTTGGGGAATCTGATGAAATTTGCTAAACTAAATGCAGAAATAGAAGGAAATTGCTGTGGTTTGGGTGTGGTTCAAGTGGGTTCCCCAAGGGTTCATGGGCTAGAAACTTGATCCTCAGTGTGACAATATTGAGATGGGGGAACCCTTCATAGGTGGGGCATAGTGCAAAGTAATTAGGTCCTTGGGGAGACATCATGCCAGAAGGGATTAATGCCGGTCTGGTCTTGCAGAGTAAGTTAGTTCTGGACAGGGTGGGTTGTTCTATAGTAAGGTGGCCCCATGCACTTTGTTCCCTCTGCATGTGAACATTTCCATCTCTACCATGTTGTGACCTAGCCAAGGGAATTCATATCAGAGGCCAAACAAATAAGAACACCCAATCTTCGATTTTCAGCTTTCAACATTGTAAGCTAAACAAACCTTTTTTTTTTTTTATAAAATATCCAAGTATTTTGGCATAGCATCAGAAAATGGACAAACAATATTTATTATAAATTATGAACCAAATTTTGCAGTTTTTTTTTTAATTCTTAGAAATTTAAACCATACAGTACCATGGAGGAATAGCAACTAGAGAGGGATCCATTGAATCCAGGCACGACTGTAATCTCAGTGACTTGGAAGGCTGAGGCAGGAGGATTGCAATTTGGAGGCCAGCCTCAGCAATTTAATAAGACCCTCAGCAATTTAGTGAGGCTCTGTCTCAAAATAAAAAATAAAAAGGGATGTAGCTCAGTGGCAGAGCACCCCTGGCTTCAACCCCCCAGTACTGAAAAAAAAAATTTTTTTTTTTTTTTTAAAGAGAGGGATGGGAGCTGGGTGGTGCAGTAGTAGCACACTTGTAATCCCAGCAGCTCGGGAGGCTGAGACAGGAGGATTGCAAGTTCAAAGCCAGCCTCAGCAACTTAGGGAGACCCTGTCTCAAAATAAAATTTAAAAGGGCTGTGGGTGTAGCTCAGTGGCCAAGTGCCCCTGGGTTCAATACCTTGTTCCCCTTAAAAAATGCTCTTATAATAGTAAGAGTCACTTACTTGTATTCTTATTCTGTGCCAGGAAGTATGAGCATTTTGTGTGTGTGGTCTCAGCTGGTCTTGTCTTCTCATACCTCAACTAGGCAGGCACTTTATTATCCTCTTTTTGCAGAAGAGAAAGCTGAAGCTCAGAGGTCACCAACTTGGTAAAGGATAGACTCAAGGTTGTTTGATTCTACACTGCACACTATTTTACCCCTTCCCTTGTGATTTAAAAGGAGAAGTATTAGGCCAGGCGTCTTGGTCAACACCTCTAATCCCAGCTACCTGGGAGGCTGAGACAAGAAAATTGCAAGTGTGATGCCAGCCTGGGCAATTTGGCAAGACCCTGGCTCAAAGAAATGGGCTGGGGTTGTAGTTCAGTCTTTAGTAACATACAGGAAGAAATAAAGAAAAGAAAAAGAAAAAAATAGAGAGAAAGAAAGACAAGGCATTTTGACAAATAGGAATGAAGCGATTATGGGTTAAAAATAAATGAGACAGGGCTGGGGTTGTGGCTCAGTGTAGCGTGCTGGCCTAGCATGCATGAGGCACTGGGTTCGATCCTCAGCACCATATAAAGTAAAATAA